ACCCGATAGGTTAAAACTATCAACCCTTAAATAAAATTAAACTCTGGCATCAGGGGTAGTATTCACTTACTTTCCCTACTGGTTCGCAAATGTGAGTGCGTGCATGCTTGCTTTGCTCTCGCGCACCCCATCCACGCATGCGTTCAGCCTTGTGTGCATGCGGTTTGATTGCACGCGTGGCTTGCATGCATGCACGTGGCTTGGAAATGTGGCTAAAGGGGATGGCATAGAGCCAGGGTGGGTGGGTAGGCCCACCAGCGATTTCCACTACCAGTTTGGGTGAACCAGTCCGAACTGGCTGAATACCACCTCTGTCTGGCATTCACATTATATGCTATGCCCAAATAACTATCATCAACTTTGCAATTTGTTTATCTGCAAGATTTGTTGATCTTGCAGAATTTCTAACCCTCGCGGTTCTCCTCCCACAAATTCTGAGTGGCTCAAATCAATTAACCCAACAGGCATCTTCAGAGCCAGCACAAGTGGTGGGCATTCTGCAGCCTGATCATGCATTGGACTTTTAATAAATGATCAGTCTTCCTGTTTAAGTAATGGAACCAACTGGACTTCAGATGGTGTTCTAGTACTCTGGTCAGGGGTGGACTTCAAAAATTGCAGCAACGGGGTTCGTTGCTCCTTTGCTGGGAGGGCATGGCCATGGTGGGTGTGGCCTAGTCAACCTCCTGCACCATGGCGATTTGTGGGGGGGCGATGTTCTTGCCCTCCCCAGACTCTAGAGGCTTTTCTCGAGCCTCTGGGAGGGCAAAAACTGCTTCCCTCGGGCTCTGGAGGTCTTCCCAAGGCCAGAAACAGGCCCCTTTCTGGAGTTCCGAAACCTCCAGTAGGCCTATTTTCCCCCTCCCTCGGCCTCCGCATGGGCCCTGTATTTACCTGGCATGATGAGTGGGCCACATGGAGACTCCAGGGAGGGGTGGGCATGGCAATCCAGGGGTGGCAATTGGGGGTTTGCCGAACTGGGCAGAATCCTAGCTAGAGGATCGCCCGAACCCGTGCAAACCCCCCCAGCAACCCACCTCTGATTCTGGTCCACCCAGAAAATACCTCCCTAAAGTCTCTTGCTTCTCCAATGTCCCAAGGAAAGGGATTTAAACCACCACTGACCAGGTGGAACAGGCTCTGTTTACAGAAAGTGGAGCTGTGGGTAGTCTGAACCCAAACTTCATAAGTCACAACCAGCATTTCAGTTGTATCCAGAATCACACTGGCCACTAATGCAGCTGTACTGATGCTAAAATGGACCGCAGTCTATACAGCAGCTAAATGTAATCTTCAAGGGCTTCCTAAGCAGAGTCCATTGTAGTCATCCAACTTTGAGGTAATAGCAGCAGAAGTGACTCCTATTCTCAAAAAGAGAGACTTGGTTTCTATAACAGGTTGGAACTACAGGTAATCTTCAACTTACAACTACAAATAAACAAAATTTATGTTGCTAAGGGAGTTTTAAAGTGAGTTTTGCCCCATTTTATGACTCTTTTTTTGCCATATTTGTTAAGTGAATCACTGCAGTCATTAAATTAGTAACACGGTTGTTAATTGAATCTCATTTTTCCCCATTGACTTTGCTTGTCAGTAGGACACAAAAGGGATCACATGATTCCGGGACACTGCAATTGTCATCAATATGTAAATTACGTGACTATGAAGAGGCTAAATGTGAATGTGAACAATGATCATAAGTCACTTTTTTCAGTGCCGTTGTAACTTCAAATGGTCACTAAGCAAACAGGTGTAAGTCGAGGACTACCTGTACAAACTACAAAACCATGGTTGTCCCAAAGGTGCTTTTTCAAGAGGCAACTGGAGTTTCTGGTTTTTCTTTGAAAATGTCCTTATCCAAGAAACTTCTAACCATGGTTTAGCCTAATCTAGTATGTTGTAGAAGGGACCCAGTGGCTCAGTGGCTAAGACGCTGACCTTGTCGATCAGAAAGGTTCAGGTCCCTAGCACCATGTAAGGGAATGAGCTCCCGTTACTTGTCCCAGCTTCTGCCAACCTAGCAGTTCGAAAGCATGTAAACATGCAAGTAGAAAAATAGGAACCACCTTTGGTGGGAAGCAGGGGTGGGTTTCCATTTTTTTTACTACTGCTTGGCTCATGCGCGTGCGCAATGCTTCTGCACATGCGCGGAAGCATCCGGGTGGGTAGGCAGAGCCTCCCGCTGCCGCTACTATCAGTTTGTCCGAGCCAGGCCGATCCAGGAGCAACCCACCTCTGGTGGGAAGGTACTTTACAGTTATCATCATCACATGATGAGCTGTGGTGGCACATTGGTTAGAATGCAG